TTATTGAAAAGACTGAAAAGTGTACAATGGAAGGATTGTTTAATCCTTACAATTCTTTTGATGTGTCTGATCTTTTTAAATTGCAATGCTTACAACACAATATGCAGCCCTAGTAAATCAACGAGATTAAGAAAAATTTTATTCTGTCATTAACCACTTAACGTTTGTGGTCTCTCGATTCATCCATAAGATAACTTCGAGCAAAACAAATTTTATGAAAACCATTGTTATCAAGAATACAATCAAACCTTAGTTCCCACTAAAAAAAAAGACAAAAGCTAAGGAAAAAAACAATTTTATTAAATTGTTGAAAGCTTGATGAGTTTCCACAAAAACAACCAAAACCAATGAAAATTAAGCAGTAACGAGACACATAACTTTTTTTTTCATTTCATTTCAGTTTTTCCAACTGTGGAGGGAAAAAAAGTTTTTCAATACTTGAAAGTAATTAATTGCAATAAGCATTTTTTTGGTGTTCAGTTTCTGTGCTGTAAAATGGCACTTCTTTTTGGCTCCACTTCAACTAATGAAAACAATAAAAATCAGATTGGAAGAGCTTGGAAATGGAGAAATTTAAAGTGGATTGATTTAAGTTTTTTTTTTGGATGTTACGTATTTTTGGACTGTATTAATCTTGATGATTTTATAACAATCCCTTGATGAAAATCAGCTCAGTTGCCTGTTTGGTAACAGCTTTCAATCTATGAATGACAATCAGTTTAAGAACAACAAAAAAAATTGAATATTATTTGAATGAACAACAGATTCAGTATTTTGAATTCAACAATGTTTGATCAAATGGATAGCTTAAATTATGTCAGACATTCCCAAAAAAAAATTTCCATACCTCAAAAACCACGCTCAACAAAAAGTTTCATACAAGGAAATGAGAATGAAAAGGATGAGTGAGATCACAATTAAAAACATTCACACAAAAAGAGAATGGATGAAAAAAAGATTGTTTGTTATTGCATAAAATGAGTCGTCGCTATTTCCGGACGGTGGAGCATTAAAACCGATAAACAAGTCTGACCCATTTTGCTTGCTGATTGGAGTAATTAAAAAACTTTTTTAAAATGTGACTTGAACTGGAGTTTTTTATAACTACTTTCATTATTGTTAGTCAACAAATGAATAAGGAAATTAAATGTAGAGGAAGCGATGAATTGTGAAAGATGCACAATTAAAGAGGCTGGAATTTATAGGGCGCCGCTTAAAAATAATCTCTCAAAATTTATTGGAATCACAGGCTATTTATTCTGCAATTGGACTGGTGACTAGAGATTGTCATCAGTAATGTCTTTTTGGATAAATTATCACAGCATGTATTTAATATATTTCGGTTTCAATATTTAAGCATCCTTTTCGATGCCAACATTTACTATTGAAGTTGGAAACAAAAAATTGTCGAAAGGTCATTAATAAATTATGTAGCAATCTAGTGCACTGGATCTGAAACAATGATCAACGATCTTTTAGCTTTCGATGTCAACCAGGAGTTCCTGGGATCCCTGAAATTGTTCGGAGAAACAAAATTCTCAAAATCTCGTATTACATAACTGGCAAACTCCCTAAACTCCCTAAACGGCACCAACAAACATAAAGCATCTAGCTGAACACTCATAATATTTAAGAGAAACTAACCGTAATCGAAATTCGAGCCAAACATTAGTTCGTGACCATTTAAAGTAACAAACTTCTTTTCACCTTCACATCCTTTCATGTGATGAACAAACTTTCATTTCTCCTCTTTTTTGTGCCTCACTTAAGTGCCTAAACTTCTGTTGTCTAAAAATCACGTACGTTTATTCTTAAATAATCAAGATCTTAAAAAAATGTCGGATTCACTCACACACAAAGGTCCTTTTTAAATAAAATAATTGACCTCATTATGCTGCCTGTTGTGTATTCAATAAAGTGCGAAATTCACATACAAAAAAAGGTACCTAGAAAATTGTGCGAAATGTAACAAATAAATTTTTTATATCCAGTTCCAAAACGTGCTTGGGATTTCACACTCTAAATTTACCATGGCATTTCTAACAATTGAAATATTGTTGATTGTGGTTTAAAAATTGTATTTGGAACTTTTTCATTCAATGTCGATAACAATAAATTGTTTTTTCTAGCTAAGAATTTTTTATCAGGATTTAAAATAATTTTTTTGTTTGTGTTGCAAAAAAAATTGAATCAAATGAAAAATTGATTACCAAAACATGATATGTGGAAAATTTTTGATGAGCTCTATTGATTCCTATTTTTATTCATGGTCAGTGCAGGATGATGTGGAAAATTGGTGCAAAAAAAACTTGATTGGTTTATTAAATTTTTTTATGCTGGATTTGAAGCTTTTATTTGAAATTTGTAACAAATAATGGAATGCATGTAAAAATTGATATTGGAATGATTGCTTCACGTATTACTCACCGAATAGCACAAGTCATTTAATCGAAGTCAGCATCATGCCAGAGTCATGGTGGTTTGTTTCCAGATTTCTGATCGATTAACTGACTTGTGCTATTCGGGCTTGATTCATACATTTATCGTGGGATATACCCTCGGCCTAGATGAACTATTTTGAACTTTTCAAGGTTTAAAAATTAATATTTCGGCTTAACAGAGCAAGTCGGTGCAAAAATATCAGTTCACTACCTGAACCTCCCACCTCTCATGACTACACAAATGCCAAAAACTGTTCATCATCATAGAATTAATCAAAATTAATAAAGCATCTACTAATTATTCTACAACGTGCTTTAATCCCTCAAATAAGAATCAACAATCATCGCAGACACTTCATCTTTTACGTCTAGCAACAAAAAAAGAACCAAAATGCTGCAAATAATAAGAAATTATGATGAATAAACATGAGACAAGTGAACAGAGAATAAGGTACAGTATTTAATATCCTTTTATGTTTCTCATTTTTTCACTTGCACAGTTCCTTACGTTTCGTACGCACGTTGGCATACTAAACGACTAATTAAAGGACGAGGCATAAATAGACAAAATGTTATGTTTATTCAATTTTCGTCTTGCATCCTAAATAAATATATTTTCTCGTTATTATTTCTTCTGTTGCCTGCTTTGTACGTACTTACACTATACACATCTTAAAAATGCCGTAAATTCTGTTTGACTTCCTTCTTTACTCTCCTACTTAATTCCAATTCTCTTCTGTCATAGTTTTGTTTGTGTGTAATTTAGTTTTATTTATTTTTGTGTTCATTCCAACCTTTTTTATAGCTGCAGAAAAAATATTTTCTTATGTCACAGACTTTGTTAAGGAAGTTCTTAATTCTCAAAAGTTGTAATAAATTAAACATTTTAATTAGTTGAGAATTGGAAAAAAATAAAACAGATTTTAAACGTTTCTCTTCAAAAAATAGAGCAGTCGATGCTTAGTAATTGATGAACTTAAATAAATGAGATCGCAAAATGTGATTAAAGATGACAAGAAAATATGGGCTGTATAAAATATTAATCTAAGTATTAACATTTCGTATTTGTGAATAAAAATTAAAACTTTCACTACACTTTAGACAACTGTGCAATGAATCTATCACGGAAGTGGAATAAAAAATCATTTCCTTGTTTTCATTTTCTGAAGAAAACTCAATCAATACATCGACAATTGGAAATTAACAACAACTTCCTCAAATGAAACACAAACACATGCTAGACATGCCTGAAATAGTGAGAATGTGGAATGAAAAAGGAAATTGGAAAGAAAAGTGTTGAATTGTTTTGAAAGAACAAAAACAAAACTGATGATGATGATGAAAATTGCTGCTTCAAGCACTTTTTCATGCACATCGGAAAAAGGGAGGAAGTTTTATTTTATGACATTTTACAGGAATGTGATATGAGTGCAGAAAAGATTGGAAGCTGTTCATACAATAATCTCTTAATAACCTTGATTCGTCCTAAAATTTTCTAATAATCAACTACAGCATTCATCGTTTCATCGATTATCTTGTCCCAAAAGAACGAAAAGTCAGCATATCTTTAACTAAATATCACAGACTGCAAAAAGTAATCGAGAGGAGAAAAACGTGAAGTAATTAGTAATGTAATGGAAATTGGACCATTTAGTCACGTTCAGCATACAAATTTCATTCCAGGTAGTATTCATAAACTTACATTGGCTTTTGTTCCATCCTGTCTGTTTGTTTGTCTACAGACTTCTCTGTGATGATGTTGTGGAATGGATTTACATTTCGGTAAATGGAATTTTCGGGGATGTTTGGGATGTAACGTATTGTTGCATGTCTGAAGCATAAAGGAACATGAATAAGAATTAATAGATTGGAAATTTTAGCTGCAATATTAAATACGAAACGTATTTTGATTAATTTTTAATTGACTATTTTAAATAGCTCATATATAGTCAAGGGGCCATAGAAGACCCGAACCGAAACCAGCAAATCAAAGGTCAAACAAAAATTCACTGCATTTATTCAGCTAACATTCACACAATTAAATAATTAAGCTTATCTTTTAAGGAAATAATTTTCATGACAATTTGTATAAAAAACGTGGTAAATACCATAAACACTCCCAATGTTTCCTATTTCCATAGCATAATTAAGTTTATAACATTGCCTTTGCAATTCAAAATCACATGCAACTTTACAGACATTTCAAAAGTACAGAAAACGACAATATAATCACCATTGAGGATAAAGAAACATTGCCAAGGGGGAAAACAACATAACGAGTAACAGTTTTTAGGAGAAATTTCATTAATTTCCCACCATGGTAAATAAAATTTCAGTCTTCAAAAATGGAGAAAATTTCCTCTTAAAATTTTTTCCCATCATGTTGTTCTCCCCTTGTACATTACACTCTGCCCTTGTACATTACACTCTGCAGCATTGAAGAAAGTGCAGTAAATTTCACATTTTCCCACACACATGGTAAGCAAAAAATTTGAATTTTACGACTGTGACCAAACGGCACACTATCATGTAAAGAACAAATTTACATAGTCATAAAATATGGCAGGTAAGTAGTAAAAAGGGATACATCATATTCTATGGGAAAAGATTTTTTTTTTCTGAAGGCGTGGATGTTGTTGCTAAATATGCTAATGAACTTTCATAAATTAATTTTTTTTATCAGCATTTATGAGAACAATTTGAGCAGATTTGGAAGTAACTTAACTGGCATTCCAATTAAGAAGTTCTCAGCTTCCTTCCCACAAAAAGTAAATCTTGTCTTTATTTCCATATCAATTTGATTACGTCAGCTGCAATTTAACACACAACAAAGGTGCTTCCTATTTTTAACACCCACAAGTCAATCAACATCAAAATGATGATTAACATGAGTCACAAATTATGTCGCAGCATAAAACCAGAAAAAGATTTTCAAATGTCTCATCAATGTCTTAAAATTCTTAACTACATGGGTTGGGATGATGTTTCTGTTGATGCTGATTTCGTACGCATAAATATACACATTAGCTCAAATTACGTAGCACGTCTCATATATCATTCAGTAGATGTAACATTCTTATGGTGAAGTAAAAGATTATTTGTGTCTTGACGAAATAAAGGCGTGCGACACGTGAGACTGTGTTGAATATTTTATTGCTTTTATTTTTGGAGTGATTTGATTTAATTGAGCAGGAGTTATTTGTCTGGTTTTGTTTATAGAATCAAATTGATGTTGCTTTAAATGAGCTTATAGACTTTATGAAGTCCAGTTCTATAGAATCACCAGGATTTTTTTTAAAGTTTAAGTCTTTCATGATGTTTGGGAACTTAAATGGCTCGATAAGGACTAAAAAATTCAGTAATTGTTTCTATTTATAGTCAAACCTTGTATCTTTAGTTTAACTTACTTCCTTGCCTCTGTCTTGGATGCATGTCGGCAAATTGCTATGTTTAGAGATCGCCTAAAGATAGCTCTATCCTTCGAAACCTTCTACCAGTTCGGGATATTAAGTACTCTATCATCCAACTATTGTCTTTATCAACACATTCAATCCAGGTCTCGTTTAAGCATTAAATAATATCCAAATAACTTGTAATAATCCCTAACCAGGAGTTCAACTGCAGAACATTCACAAAAGTAATCAAAATGCATCCATCAAGAAGTTCCTTAAAAATTTATGAACCAAATAATTTCTATATAAAACTTCTGACATTCATGCAACATTCTCATTTTTCTTACCAGCAGCATAAAGAGCAAGAGAGCAAATTGATAAAATAGAAACATTTTCATGTCATGTCATTTGCCGTTCATTGTGTCTGTTATTCATCATCATGTACGATGGAAATGTAAGACAAAAAAAGAAGTAAATTAATGACGAAATTTATTAAGCATAACTACAAATGGAAAAGAAAATAGAATTGAGATGCGACAGAAGATTAAAGTTTTATCACGCACAATTCTCATCGTCATTTTTCTTTCCCTTTTTTTCTACCTTTTCACTCATTTTTTGTCATCCTGTAAGCAGTTATGGAAGTACTAGCATAAGCATCTTTATTTGTTTGGATAAAGATGTATTTCCGGCTTCTTCTGCCACATTTTTGTCATGTTTTTCTTTGCTGGATGTAAAGTGAGTTCTTATGATTTGGTTTGGATGGCTGTCGGATCAGATGAAGCAGTTTTCATGCTACGGAGACACTTCCATGGAAATAGTTGAAAGAGAAGGTCCAAACTTGAATAATTAAATTTCTAGGTGATCAAATGATTCTCATGGACCACACTAGAACTCGAATGACCATCGTCAAAAACCCGAGATGAGCAACAAAGTCACAAGGGTACTGGTTCGTTACTAAATAGACATTACAAAGGTCAAATAGGCTTAATGGTACCCTTACGTCACCATGTTGTTTGTATCAAGTCAATTTGATAGTTTATCACTATTTATTTAATTTTTTTCATTATTAAAGAATGCGCTTAATCCACCAGCTCAGATCAACTTCCTAAAATCTCACAATATGAGAAAGAAGATATAAGGAAAGAAATTATGATGAACCGATAAACAGATTCTTATTTCTCATTCACATAATAATCAACTAGATATGAGAAGTGGAAGAGACATGTACATGAAAATGAATAAAACGATAGACAGCACATGGTTTGTGTCACACGTTCATGTCACTTGTTAGATAATTCAATTTAAGTATTCCACATGACATTTTTTAAAAAGAGAGCAATGTTGAAGTAGATGAAAGTCTTTCTTCTTTCCTGTCATTTTCATCCAATATACATTCATATAAATGTTATGTTCATTGATGTCAATAAGAAATGGAATCAAATTTCATGCTGTGCTGTTCTGTAAATGATTTTTCTTTTCCTTGTATAATCTATTTTATGCTGACTCACAACTAGATTAAAAGGAGAAGAAATGTATGATTCTGATTAAATCAAATAAAAACTGTTTTTTTTTTATCAGGACAAGAAGAGGAAACTTCACGTGCTATCTCTATTGTAACATTATTGACTAAGGTTTTTTTTTTCTGCTGATAATTCAATTATTTTTCACGTGCATAACTAAATGACGTAAAATTAATATAATATTGTAGCAGAACGATACCTTAGGCATCGAGCCATGTTTAAAAGAATCAGCAATAGCGAAAATGGTCCAGAAACCTGTAATTTTAATTTTTGTGTTGAGCAAAGGTTTGATTCTTTCCTCAGCTCACCATTGTCAGTCTTTTCACTTATGACAAACTGTAGCAAAAGAATCAAGTTCCAATAAATCTCAGAACGTACCTCCTCTCTTAAAAGTTGTGCGTCATAAGATTTAAAAAATCATTTTCAGTATATCCATGTCAACTTTAATGGCAATCTTATAAGAAAATCTTTAAAATTTTCAACAGTCTGACACGGAAGTCAACTTCCTATAAAATCTCATTCTGATAAGACATAATAGTGAGCAATTCCCACATTGAATTGCTTCCTTCCTTTCTTATTAGAGCATCACAAACTATTTACGTCTATAATTAGGTTCGATAAATTTTACACTTTATCAAGCATGTCAACAATCATTGTCTTGTTATAAGCTAATTAATGTTGGTTACAACTTACTGATAACGATAGTTTATTTAACCATTTCCATTGAAAATGGAAGACATGAGCAATGCTAAGAGACTTTAACTTTATAAAGTCTCGCATGTTTCCAGTAGATCTTAATCAGCTGGTTCGACATCTAAACAAACTATTGGTGACAATAGTTTTGACAACTTCCACTATATGATAGCAACTAGTTTTAATAAATAGATAAGAGAATGTATAAAAGTGTAGCATTCAGCCATTGACAATTTAGTGTTGTAGGTGCCGTGATAGTGAGTTTTGAGAATAACAACAGAATCATAATTTCAATAGTGGAATGAAACATCTTTTGTGTAAATTGCATAAAAAACATCCTGTTTAAAAATTAAATTTAAATGATATTTTTCAATTAATTTGTAGTTGCTGCCCTCGTTTTGGGCTGCGTGCTCGCTTATGTTAGTGCAAGTGGTGAATTTGAATTTCACGATGATAAGGGCAACTGCTGGCGCTGCACACCTGGAAATTCTTGTGAAAGATGTAAAACATCTGATAATCCAATCAGTAAACTTCCAATTAATATACTTCCTGTTTGGCCTAATCAGTGTGTAATCCCTGACTGTGAAGCTTTGAGAACACAATTAGTTCCATTGTCAACTCTTTTCCCATCAACGATATCAAGGTAAGGATCATGCTATGGAGGCATTAGGGACTAGATGGAATTGAAGAGAGTTTCTGAGACTCTTTATACATTATAAGGACTTAAGGATTGAGCTATTAAATCTAGATACGCAATTGTTCCTAAAAATCCACAAAAAGCTAAAAACTAGATAAAGTCAAATCCAGTTAAATCTTAAAGTCAAATTCTAATTTGAATTATTATCCAAAACTTAATTTATAGAAAATTCTACCAATGTCGTCAAGATCCAGCAAACACTAATGTCTGGGTAGCTAATGAACGTGATTGTCCATGTGATACACTCTTCAGTTATGAACAACAAGCATGCGTTTTTCCATTTGACTGGATACCACATTGCTCAAATATGATTAACTGGGATACTGAAGTTTGCCGTAAGTATTGAGTGAAATGTCAAGCTTGATGCTTGGTTCTTGTAGTTATAGGATTAATTTCAAAATTTTATAAATTTTCTATCTTATTAATTTATAGCTGGAATACCTACAACAACTACAGAAGGTAAGCATTATTGGTTTATTCAATTTTAAAGGCTAATTTTATTTCAAATTTTTTAGCTGCAACAACCACCACAGAAGCATCTACCACCACATCTCAATCTCCATGTATGTGCATGCCATGGTGGCCATGCTGGTAAGTTCACACAAAAATCTTGACATTTTGAAAATTTTTCAAATATAAAATTCCATCCTAAGGTGTAACCCATGCTGGCAAATGCCATGTCAGAGCTGCAGTGGATGCATGACTGGTTAAAAAAAATTATGGAAACAAAAAAAAAATTGAGATTCTTCACACAAAAAAAATCTTCACAAATGGAATCAAGTTAATAACTTAATAACCGATACCGAGAGCTACCTCAAAAGCTGATAAAAGCTAGTCATTTGATTATCAAAAGATTGATCATCGAATTTCTCAGAATATAAAAAAAAAATTCAAGTTGTTGTTTATGAATTAATTAATTTAAGTAATTTAATTTAATGAATCTTTTGCAAGAAATATTTTTGATGAAATTTTAAGGTGATGGGACTGGGTTAATATTTTTGCAATGTTTTTAAACCAAACAATTTTATAGTTTATTGGTGATGGGAAAAGCTATAAAATTATAAAAATGAAGCTGTTTAGAAATAAACATGAAAATCAGGGATTAAATATAGTAAGATTCTCTTTTTTTGTTGTTTTATTTGACATTTTCAGGGGAAACACTAAGGTTTACTTGAAGCAGAAGTCTGGTCAATGAACAAGATAAGGGGCCGTTCACTTAAAGCATCTAGGGGGGGAGGTCAGTAAGAAAAGAACAATAGTAATTTCTGGAAATCCATTGTTTTTTTTTGAAAAATGACCGTTAATTTTGAAGTCATAAGTGAACGGCCCCTTATCTGATTCATTGACTAGATTTCTGTTTTTAGTAAACCTTAATGGTTTTAAGTCTAAGTCTAAGGTTAGAATGCACTTTTTTCAGATGAAGTTATACAAAATTTCACATAATAAGTAAAAATAACAGACCTTAACATTCAAATATTGTAGATTCAGTATTGACTTTACCCCTGACTCGAAATCAAGTCCTCAATCCACAATATTTTAGCCACAAAACTTTAATCTGATACTTTAAATTTTTAACAAATTTTCCACCAATATTTTCACGCCAATTTCATCACCGAGCTGGATATTAAGTTTTTAATTAACAATTTTCGAATATTAGCTTACTGACTTATTGACACAATAGATTGAATTTATTGATAAATTAATTTAACCAATGCCACAATTGTGTGCATCACATCTTCCACTGCGCCATTGTGTCAATAATTATTTAATCAAAATTATGCTGATGAGATAAATATCAATACAGTAAAATAGTTTGCAGGAGCTTATTGGATTTTTGAATTGTTTGTGGCTAATAAAATTGGTTTTATTTACATTGAAAGCTTTTTGTTGAATTTAATTTAATGTTAATTAGTGATTATAAATTCATAAAAACATGTGGGTGTAAAAATTTTATGAGTTTATAAATAAATGGAATTAATATGTGATTATTGTGGACTATTGGCATGATTTGATTTATAAAATAAAGGATATAAGTAAAACTTCATGTTTTGTAGACAAACAAATAAGATCTTTTAACAAATAATTTTTATATTCCACTCCAGGCCTTTCCACGGTTTTGTCAAAAAGTTCTACATATAGTACCTATAACTTAGAGGGCAAACTTACTTAAAGTCATCTTATAATCTAATTCAGAATATTCATCTACTAAGTTTTTGAACAAAATATCCTAATATACACATTAAGGCAACACATCACACATGTATATCCTAACAAATATTTTGATTCTTAAAGCTTTACAAATAACAAAAAAAAAATCATCCCAGGCATAAATAGGAATAAGACCAAAAAGACTAACTTTTTACTCCTTTGAATAGTAAAATTACTGATTGTAGTGGTTTCATACTTTAGAAACTTTCCTTTAAGCCATCTGAGGAATAGTTTTACTTTGGAAATCATTCCTAAATGACGGCTGCCTTAAAATAATTTTTCGATTTATTTTTAAAGCCCTTAGAGAGTAAGTAAAAGATTTAATTTACTTTCATATTTATTTAATTTACTTTTAAATAATAGACATCAAAAGTGAACAACCCCCCATTACGATCAATTCTGCTTAAAAGGACTCAAGGCAAAAAGAATGAGTTATAAGAGAGAAAAAACATTCATCTTGAATGTTAAAGGAGAAAGTTTTATTATGGAAAATAATTCCATTCCATTGCAATAACTTATGCATTGTTAAAAGTTTATCGGAACACTTGAGCTTTTGATACTTTTCAACAAACACAGACATAGATACGTACACAAAAAAGTTACATAAAACTTCTGTAACAGAAATCCATTAGAAATGAAGGAAGTTTCATGTAAGAGATGATGATGACAAGAAGAGCTGGTTATTATGGATTGAGAATTTAAATTTATTGGTGGTTTTAAGAAGTAATGTTAAGCCAGGTGGGAAAAGATTCTAAAAAAAGGTCAACATGGGGTGTATCCTTGCCTTCCTAGAGATGATTAGTAAATTTTCACTAGGGTATCCAAAAAACCTACTTATGGAATAAATAATCAATTATAACCTTGAATGACCACAAAGCTCTTACTAAACATTCCATGGTCATGTAAAAACTAAAATAAGCCTTTGAATGCACCACAAAGATTATATTCGATATATTTTTAAGTTGTCGGCTTCCTTCACAACATAGCTTACTTCAGTTACAATGATATTTCAGGATTGCCTTGACTTAACCAATCTAGTTCAACTCATTTTTTGTCTGAATAATTAGATCCTCAATTGAACTGACTAAACCGAATTTTACACTCTCTCTCCACACCTCCTAGACGACAAAATAAATCAGTCATAGAAGAGTAAGGAACATTGCAACCATCATCATAATTTGTAATACGAAACTTCATCTTATCATGACATCAAGACAAACAAACTAGTAAAAGGAAAATATTCTTGTGTTTTCAAAAGTTTTACTAAGTTTGATGTAATGCGGATGATATGCCTTAAAGGGGCAAGGAAGATGATGGAAGGGAATAATTTGTTTTTTTTTTTTGCAGATTTTTGTGCTTCGTGAAATTGTTAGACTGGATTAAGTGCACGATGATTGCAGAGTTAAATGGAAAAGTTTGATGGAAAGTAAAAGAATTTGTGAATAATTGGGATGGATCTGAACTGTGAATAATGTTGATGAAAATGCTATTTTTTCACAATCAAAAGGATACATTCGCAGAGCTCGAAGTCGACTCAACTTTTCTATGAATTCATCAGCGTTACTTAATTCGGTAAAAAACTGGGATTTAGCAACAATATTGAATTGAGCTGTAAGCTTCCCCGAATAGCACAAATCGGTTAATCGAATAGAAATACGGTGCCAAGCTGGCATTACTCTGGCATGATGTTAGCTTCGATTTAAATTTAGCACCATGCCAAATTCACAGATTAATCCTGATCGATTAACCGACTTGTGCCATTTGGGTTCTCCTGTATCGAAAGCTTTAGTATGTATTGAGGAATGTAAATGAAAAAAAATCAATTTTATTCATGCTGCAATGTTTTTATGGAAATCCGCATTTCCATTAAGCAAATATGAAAAAAATCACCATCCCAGTCACATCCATCAATGCTAGCGATACATTTATGCAAATAAGGATTGAGGTCAAATTATGAATATCATCAGCATTCAAATGCATGTATCGAATATGCAATTAAAAGCATTCACACTGCATTTTAATTAAAATTAATTTAATTTAATTTTAATATGATGACATTTTTTGTCATCGTCATCAATGTATTTTTGCAATAAATGTTTGCAGACTTACCGAAAATGTTATGAATGCAATGGTGAGGAAGCGTGCAAGTTGAGAGTTATTTCATTTAAATTATAGTAACTCGAATTATTGATTAGATTTTCGGACATCAATTGTGATCTTTAGGTTGTCTTTATGTAAGCTGCAGCTATCTGCTTGGTTTCCTATTGTTTTGAATGAATAATTTCCAAATTATATCACCTAGTTAAGTTGCACCTCCAACCTTATTGATTGGACCCTCACCAACCCTCTACAAAAGTTTCTGTACATACTGATTCTCTCAACAGCTTCAATTCGTGATTTGAAAAGTCTGTAAAATAAGATTATAAGACCAAAACCTAAGCTAGTGGTGCTCAACCTATTTTAATCGCGACACAGTTAATCTATTATCTGGTGTAAATGTCAATGTAAATGTCAATGCAGAATCTTTTATCGATGGATGATTTGAGAAGGTTCCTTACATAACGTTCTTTGACACTTAACTTCATTTAAATTCAAAAACTCAGATCAGACTTAAACCGAAATTCCCAAACCAATTTAAATTCTTCAACAAAAAACCACTAAAATCGCGCTCAAAAAACACCAAATTTATAGTACTGATACAATGAAAATTTCATTTACTCGCATAATAATTATGATTTATTTGCATGACGAGAGCAATTTCTGATACAATTCCGCACAACTCGTGAAACATTAATGTGACATAATCAAACTTCGATTATTTGCAAATTTATTTGCACTATTGTCGATGTGATTCGAGGGAAAAATTAATTTTAATTTAACATTATTTACTGTTTTATGCCACCAAAAATTGTTTCCATTATCGGATTAAATTAATTAATAAGTTGTAAATGAATTTATTGTAAATTGTTTTATGGTTGAACGTAATTGAGATTTTTGTTCGAAACAATTGTTCTTAAATGTATTCAGGGGGATGTTTTAATGAAAAGTAAACAATTGGACTGAATTTATTATGCATTCATGTATTTTAAATATAACAGAAATGATGACTATTGTCATTATATCTATATTTGACGTCTATATAAAAAACATGATCCATAAATAATTTTTATTACAGGAAACTTTAAATACAATAATTAGAGCATCACATAGCTCTATGGAGGTCTTCTAGCTCTCAGTTTTGACATCATTTGTGAACAACTCAACAGTAGCTTTGGGCACAATCCCAACTAACAATCAGAAATAATTAAAATTTCAAATTCAAATAAAATCTCACGAAACAAAAAGTTCATCTACGGAAAGAATGAAAATCCAATTTTAAGCTCAGCATCAATCCATCATGAAAAAAAAAACCTCCAACATCCTGTTAAAAATAAGTCACAATAACGAGAATTCATAATTTGATATAAAGTTGAGGCGAACCGCAATGAAGAACAAAAGAAGAA